TTATAAATCAAAGTCTTATGATATTGTTATTATCTTAACAGTTACTGTTGTAACTTACAATTTTAAATTCATATTCCTTGTATTCCTTGTATTCCTTGTATTCCAGTACGTAATATAGGGTGTTAAAGCTGGTATTTCAATATTTGCTCAAGTTTCACAGATATCATCAATTGAGTATTGTGACAAAGTAAACTTATTTGTGCGACTGTATGATATTATCATAATTCCCAGTACTTCCAGATCATCAAGTAATCCTACTGCACTACTCAGCATTCCTTGTCAGGGTGTCCTAAACATTCCTCATATATTTTCTTAAATGCAACAGTATAAAGTCTGAAGATTTTAAAACCAAAATTGAGCAAATATTGAAATACCATGGCTTAAACACCCTATATTACGTACTGGAATACAAGGAATACAAGGAATACGAGGAATATAAATTTAAAATCTTAAGTTACAACAGTAACTGTTAAGATGATAACAATATTATAAGGTTTTGATTTATAATATTAATATAATTTACTGAAAAGAAAAAGAAAGATTTTGAAAATAAATATTTAGTTTACAGTCCCCTGTTAATGCTTAATTAATTAACACTATTACAACCACGCACCAGTCACATAAATTATTATGTGGTTGTAATACGTTTACAGTGCCACAATTGAAACATCGCAATACTGAATACATGGTAAAAAATAGATTAATTATGTCACCAAAAATATTATCACTCTGTTTACTCCTTGCTGGAAGATAATTAGTTTGTCCAAATTTGTATGATGATAAAGTTAAATTGAATTCTAATAGAGGTATGGTGAACTACAAAATAGGGCATGCATTGTTAATTTCGTCACATAATTTGTTGTGAAAGTTTGTTAATTTTTCGTTCACATCCACATCCTTATTATTGTTGGAATTGATTAATACAAGAAATATAGTAGCCCATACCAGTTTTCTGCATTAAATTTATATTGTTGAGGCACAAAATGGTAATTCTGTCACATTTTTTGTGACTAAGCAAAATTTAAGGTAGCATTGTTAAACTTGAGGTTTGATGTGCTGGACAATAATCTACCACTTATTTTTTTTTGACAATGTTAATATCAACTGTCCTCTCTTGGATCAATCTGACCAAACGTAAAACGAAGGCAATCGGTTTAAATCTCATATGAAATATTTTCAGGTACTGATTCTATAACGAAGTCTAATCGTCATCTTCTTACAGTGTTCGATGTCTGTGTGAAGGTAAAATGGTGACATCCTCTGGATCAGGCAGAGGTCGAGTGTTATCGGGATTACTACAGATTGATGATCCCGCTCATCGGAGAAGATAAAGGCCTTGCTCAGCAATGGGTAGGGTTTGCAGTTTAGATAGCCATGTGGCACGCTGCAACTTAATTATTCGAGATTCTTCTCGAATAATTTTCAAGACTTGATGTCAATTTATTATTGGAGAAAAAGAAGATTTATGAAGGTGAATAGATGCCAGGGTCGGATTGAGTTGACAAAGCTCAAGATGAAAAGGTAATTTAATACTCAGATCATAATGTTTTGTTGCATTTACCTAGAAGTTAATTGTTTTGGAAATATGCTGTGTAATAAAGTAGTTCTAAAAACATTGAATTAAAGTGGACGCCATCCTTTAGAGAAATTTAAATTTATTACCTTCCCAATCTCGCTTTAACTCTGTATTTTAATGTATTCTTGTGTAAAATTGTATTGATCCCGTTTGATGCGACAAGGTAAAATGCTCTTACCAGGAGAGGAATTTACTCAACGTTTCAATGTTACAACATCGTATTCATGATCTCAAATTATTTGTTATATAGTAGTGTTGAAAGTATTAAAACTGTATGTTAACAAGCATTTAGTTCTTGGAAAGAATTGGCTTATATCTCATAAACTAACAATGATTATTTCAATTCAATCAGGATAAGAAGATTAAGAAGCACAAGTTCAACTCCAATACTTGTTAGAACTGGTGAAAGAAGTACCACACCGTACTCAAAACCCAAACGAGATATCATTGATCTTATTGACGAGGAAGAAACGATGAAAGAACTGCAAGACTGCAAGAGCTCTTAGACAGCTCTCCCACAAAAAGTACAGCCAGCACAGACAGTTTTTGCAACCGAAACGATAACCATACATATCAATATCTTCAAAATCAGTATCTAGGACGTGTAAGGTTAGGTTTTATATTTATTCGCATTTTGAGATGTAACGGCCTTTTCCACATTCAATAAATCTGTCGGAAATCCGAATTTATCTTACTGCAATCACTTGCTAATATATATCAGTTATCTGCGCTTATCGGCAACGGGCCGTTATATTCTATTAATGCTTTTCAAACAAAGTTACAACGAATTCTTCATGTCGTGCATCCTGGGTTTGAACAGGATATGGCCGTTTAAAATATTTCCATCACGTTACATTACATAATTCTCAATAAATGTAATAGATTTTTAGTGTTGTAATTAGTTTAAAGTTTTAATCGGTCTCGCAGCTCTATTCTATATTTGCCTAACTCATTTAAGAGTGAGCAGACGACAGTATAAAAAACAGCAGACGACATGGCACCAATTTGGGGAGGACCAACTCCATTTCAACGGATCATACATCTTACATGATTATATATCTTGAACATCGTTTTTGATTTATTAGATTTGTTCCATTACATAAGCAAATAAACGGATAGTAATTGTACATCATGTTGCCAGTTATGATAATCCAGGATAACTGCACTGGATAAAGGGAATAAAGGTCACTTTTCCTTAACATTTTAAAAGCTTGCACATACCAAGGTAATTTATGTAGTTAAAGTGGATACCTCCCGAACTACCGTAATTTTATGTACTGAACGGATTAAAAATCTTAAATACGTCCTTCGAGGTCACATTTCACAGGACAAAAAATGCCTACCCATTTTATTTGAATATTAATAAGTTATTTGAATATTAATAAGTCCGGCATTAACCTGAATTATTCTTAATATCATAACTCGCAAGGTCTTGTGAAAGGATTAGGGAACGTATTTTAACTTAAAAACTTTATTGCTGATATCTAACTGAGAAGGAAATCTGCTGTATTTTTGTTATAAATTTATTCGAATCATAGTATATAATATTATGAGTAATGGTTTTTAAAATATTTCTTATCTGATGATGTGATAAAATTGTTTATGAGAAAGAAACCAGTTTTGAGGCGTAAAAATGAAGAGGACTTAAAGACTGTACATTTTTCACCGTTGAATAAAACTTAAATATATGGAATGATTAAAAAAAGCAGCCGCAACCTTGCTATTCAGCAAGTCTTGTTGTATGAAACAAATATTATATTGACTGCTAGTAAAATAGACATTTCAACTTTTAAATTTTAAACTGTAAAAGCATCTCTCGATTCGATTCGATTTAGGGTCTGATTATATAGCTTCATATTCGATTTGAGCTTCATATATGACTGTTAATGACTGTACATATGTTTTAATTGAAATTAAGTTCAATCAAATGCAATCAAATGCGCCGTTTATTTTTGAAAACACAAAAATAGCAGAGAAATTCCCTCTTCCATTAGACATGTAACTTAAACTTCAGTTTGACTTCTGTGCTGCTGTTACTGCTAGGAAGGCATTCTTTTTATTTTACATACAAGCTATAAATAATTGCTTATTTTACGGATGTAGTATATCTAAGATTTTATCCAGTATGTATAATATACATACTGGATACAATGTTAGACCTAAACTTATGGCTCTGAACTTTTACTCACCGGCCTCACTATAGTTTAGCATGGTTTAAGTAGATAATTAAGCTAGTAGCTGAAAAAATAAGCATGAAACCTGTAGCTTAAAGTCCTTAGAGTCTGATAATAAAATTCTGGTGAAATACCGGACTTGGATATTAGAATTAGAATTAAATTTGGATATAAACTTATATTGCACCGAGTGCCCATTTCAGAAAATCACCGAGCACCAGCTCATGTATAATTTAGGCATTTAACCGTTATTAAACGCGCTCATGCCACAACGTTCCGAAAGATATCGCTCTGTCAGAATAAGAAATTACTGAAGGGCAGTCGTCACTCGTCACTCACCAAATCATGGTGCAAATAGTATTGGATCTCATAAGAGTTGCGAAAATAACGAGAGAGCTTTTCGAATATGTTGCAAGAAAATCTGACCGAAAGGATCGTGGCCGTACTGCAAAAAGAAAAGGTTCGCCATTTTGTTGTTTGCTGAGAATAAGAACCATATGCTTTTTGGACGAATTAGCGCTGGCGCGCGCGCCAAATTTATTAGTTGTATGTAAAAAGTTGATGCGTTAACACTTAAATCTGAACGTGAACTCTTCGTAGCGCGGATCACTGGAATTTTCATTTTGAAATAACTCGCATACCAATGCAGGAATTCATAATATGAAGGTGTAGGACTCATAACATATTGATGAGATAAATATTGGTATCAAAATTTTACCAAAAAACTCATCGGATGATGGTAAGAAAACGTTTTTACACATTGACAGTCAAAAACAAAAAAAATAATATCAGTGTCAAATTAAGCGAGTGAAAATTGCTACCCGGTGGTTTTCGATGCTTCCGTATCCCCCGCACACTTTAAAAAGCATACAAACGATATTCGGACAAAAAAATTCTGTGCTCGCGCTTGGCGCTTATTACACTGACTATAGAGAACAACATCCATTGTACATTCCTACCAGCGGCAACATGTTTTTTGTTTGGTCACCATGGAAACCATCACGACATGGATCAGTTTACATTTAATATCGTTAAACGGAGCACCATGCAAAAGGTGTGTTCTGAGGGTCGCGTGACCTCCACATGATACGCCACGTTGCTTATCAGAACCAATTGGGAAGGACCCCCCCGTCAAGTGGCAATAAAATGTGGACGCTAATCTGCGAATTGAAGGGAGATTATATAGGTCAGCTGGGGGTAATCACGTGACAGAGATTACACTGATATACTCCCTTTGTACCACTTGCAATGGAAACATTTTCTATTTCAACCCACACTCTTCTGGTAGACGTTACTCTTCTTCGCCCGGAGCTACTTTCTTGCAAACATGGTAGGCACTTTGAACTAGCATGGTAGGCACCTTAAAATGGTAGGCACCTGGAAAAAAGCGATCCTTCAATTAAAGTGAAAAATCTGGAATCCCGCTCTAGCTGAATTAGTTGATATTGTCTTCTGAATTATTGGTTCAGTGCTCAATTAACATTCACTTTCAGCGTGAGTGTATTTCTGTTCATCTTGGTCAAGCCGGTGTCCAGATTGGAAATGCTTGCTGGGAACTTTACTGCCTGGAGCACGGTATTCAGCCTGATGGACAGATGCCTTCAGACAAGACCATCGGAGGTGGTGATGACTCGTTCAACACGTTCTTCAGTGAGACTGGAGCCGGGAAACACGTTCCTCGAGCTGTGTTCCTTGACTTGGAGCCAACTGTTGTTGACGAAGTGAGGACTGGAACCTACAGACAGCTCTTCCATCCTGAGCAGCTCATCACAGGAAAGGTTTTCTAATTTAAAAATACGATTGATTAGCGTGATTTAACATGCATGACTAATTGTGATTTATGCTCTTTGTCCATTTTCCCATGCAGGTCATCACGAATTATTTTGAAATTAATTTCATATTCATAATATTTAGGAAGATGCAGCAAACAACTACGCTCGAGGTCACTATACCATTGGAAAAGAGATTGTTGACCTCTGCCTTGACAGAATCAGGAAACTAGCTGATCAGTGCACTGGACTTCAAGGATTCCTTGTCTTCCACTCTTTCGGTGGAGGCACTGGATCTGGGTTCACCTCCCTTCTCCTGGAGAGACTCAGTGTAGACTACGGAAAGAAAAGCAAACTAGAGTTTGCTATCTACCCTGCTCCCCAGGTGAATGTAGAGAGATGTAGAGATGTAGAGATGTAGAGATGTAGAGATGTAGAGATGTAGAGATGTAGAGATGTAGAGATGTAGAGATGTAGGGATGGGTCAGTTTTCGTCTTAATGCTATTATGATTCAGGCCTATTCATAATATCTATTCAGGACTAAATTGTTCACTCAACCTTCAGGTCTCCACTGCTGTTGTAGAACCATACAACTCCATCCTCACTACTCACACCACCTTAGAGCATTCCGACTGTGCCTTCATGGTCGACAACGAGGCCATCTATGACATCTGCCGACGAAATCTGGACATTGAGAGACCAACGTACACCAACTTGAACAGACTGATGGGACAGATTGTATCCTCCATCACTGCTTCTCTCCGATTTGATGGTGCTCTGAACGTTGATCTGACTGAGTTCCAGACTAACTTGGTGCCCTACCCCAGGATCCACTTCCCTCTGGCTACTTATGCTCCAGTCATCTCCGCTGAGAAGGCTTACCACGAGCAGCTCTCTGTTGCTGAGATCACTAACGCCTGCTTTGAGCCAGCTAACCAGGTCAATTTTATGACTTTATGATCACTAGTTTGGAATACCAAAAACAGCTCTGGAGGCATTTACGTTTTTAGTTAAATGTTATACAACGTTTAGCGTTTTTGTTTATGTTAACACTTGCAGATCGTGCTAAGGAAATTATGCATTCTGCAGACTCTTAAATTGGTAAATTTCTCAGATGGTAAAATGTGACCCTAGACACGGCAAATATATGGCTTGCTGTCTTCTCTTCCGGGGAGATGTTGTCCCCAAAGATGTCAACGCTGCAATTGCTACCATAAAGACCAAGAGAACCATCCAGTTTGTCGACTGGTGTCCCACCGGGTTCAAAGTTGGCATCAACTACCAGCCACCAACTGTTGTTCCTGGAGGAGATCTGGCTAAGGTACAGAGAGCAGTGTGCATGTTGTCCAACACCACTGCCATCGCTGAGGCCTGGGCTCGTTTAGATCACAAGTTCGATCTGATGTACGCCAAGAGAGCCTTTGTCCACTGGTACGTAGGAGAGGGTATGGAGGAGGGAGAGTTCTCCGAAGCTAGAGAGGATCTAGCTGCTCTGGAGAAGGATTACGAAGAGGTTGGTGTAGATTCTGTTGAGGGAGAGGGAGAGGAGGACGATGAAGAATACTAAACTATTTTCAGACAACTTTATGTATGAGATTTTGGAGAGGTTTGCTGTTTATCAGTCTCATGATAAGATAATGGTTTTAGGGATAATATCCAGTAATAGAGACTAGGTAGGACAAGTGAAACTACTGTTTAGGAGGAAACTCGAGCTTTCAGTGTGCTACACTTTCATCAGGCTCAATAAATGTATTTAATTGTAGTTGTGAAATAAGTTTAAACTGAAAAAAAAAATGAGTTTTTTAAATCAGAGATTTGTTATATAAAGCTACGGTTGTTTTGCAGCGTTTTAGAGCTCCGATGTTTCTTACAATGATAATCAGATTCACTTGTCCTACCTAGTCTCTACTACCGGATATTATCCCTAAAATCATTAACTTTATATATATTTATAAATTGTATTTATTTATATTTTGACCCGAACTGTGCAGATGTATTTGCTAATGCTGTTTATAAGTTTTGCCAAATAATGAAATCTTCTTTATCCAAATGATCTGACAATTTTTTGTTTTCGCATTAAAGTGTAATATCAGGCTACTGCATATGATATTGCATTCATGATAAACTGGTTTACAAAATAAAGACTCATCTTATTGTACAATCACAATCAAATTATGGTCTGTTCAATATTGGTTTTAAATCACAGTATACAATTAAGATTAACCTCCCTTATCATTACTCAATGACCAGCAGTTTTGTTAGCATGTTCTATGTTGGATTGTGTAGGACCTTTATCCTTAAATCCTCTGGAAAATGCACCTCGACAGCCACAGTTCCATTTATCTCTGTTGGGACTCCGTCAACGCCTGTTTCATTTTCTGCGAATCCATTCCCGTGGCTTTCTTCGCGATCCTCAAAATCTTTCTTTATATCTTTCTCTATATCTTTCTTTATTCTGACATTTTTGTCCTTTCCTACAGCACTGTCAGCTACATTCGCATCTATTCGAATATTTATTTGATCCTTTTCAATAACCTTAGTTTGTGTTCTATAACTACGGAAGTGTTGGATAACCCTCGAGTAAATTACCAAGTTGGAGATTTTGACAGAAATTATATGAAAACGTGCCTGTAGAACGCCTGCCACAAGATCGTCGTAAAGTAAGGGATTGATCACAGAGTTGATGGGTAGGATTATCATGGAAAAGATGCCATACCAGGGTGTGGCATCTAAAACTTCCAAAGAATGTAAGGCACAAATTACTATGAAAGGCACCCAACAGCAAAAATCAGTAGTGATGATTACTGCGATCTTCCTGTTAGTCTTGCGGATTCTTTTATGGAATTTATTATTATGAATTGAAAATGCTTCTGAAGAGTTTCTTGAGACAAGACCAATAAGAATATAAAATGAAGATATGAAGAGAAAGCAGATGAGATTTACTGCGAGGGTAGACCACACAAAGTATTTTTGGGGATCATCTTTCTTCACAAAATATTTGAAAAGGCACACTGCATCATTTCCGTAAAAATCGAGTTTAGTGACCATCAAAGTATGATCCTCATATCCAAAATCATGGGAGAACATGTTCCTGACCATCTTGAGGATCATTTCCCAACTCAGGGTCTTTTCTTTCATCCGTCCAAAGTAGGCTTCAATGACTAGAAGAATGTTCTGTTTATTTGGAGTTCCAATGAATAATTGGAGCTGGTCAGGAAACTTGAGTCCATTGACGAAGAAATCTTCTAAACCACTGATTATCGGTGAAATTGCAATAGTTGCAGATACTAAGACTATGAAAGACACTCCAAGGACAACTCTGAGGCATTTTCCTCGGTTAACTTCCCCTGGGACCCTGAATGAGTGACTAATGCCATTCAGTCTGACTATGCTCAAACCTACCATTGCAAAAAGGGAAACTTGTGATCCAATTGTGCTAAGAACTCCGATTGTGGAACACTTAGTGCTGGTCATCCATTCAATTTGATTTTGACAATAAGTCTTTCCAAAAATTATAGTATCGTAGATTGCTACAACTAATAAGTAGCATCCAACCAAAAGGTCTCCAAAAGATATAAGAATAATCAGAGATTTGTTATATAAAGCTACAGTTGTTTTGCAGCGTTTTAGAGCTCCGATGTTTCTTACAATGATAATTAGGTTTGTAGTGACTGCGAGTCCTCCGATGAGCCATGTAGTTACTTTGAGGAGAGAAGTTTTAAGGATCTGTCTTGAGCACTGGTCATTGCATTCATCGGACTTATCTAAACAATCAAAATTATCATCACATTTGCTAGTTTTTGGTATGAAACGAACGGAGGAATTACATCTGAAATGATTGGTACATATTGTCTCATCTGATGCATCTCCACAGTCATCAACTAAATCACAAACCTGGGAGTAGTCTATACACCTGATCTTATCGTCACACACGAAATATTTGTTAGTATAGATATTTCCTTGGGACTTGGTAAAGAAGGCTAGGTACTTGTTGTTGGCGATAGTTCCTATTCTGTCTGGGTATTGAACAGGACAAACCTCATATCTTGGCTGATTCTTGAGTGGGCAAGAGGAGTTGGCACATCTATTCCTGCAACTGGTGAATACATACTGCTCTCCGTACATATGGTCACAGTTTTGTTTCGAATTGTTTTGGAGATGTAATTCAGTTCTGTTACTCACTCCAAAATACTCATGATCAGGAAAAATGAAAAGTTCTTTGACGCAGTTAACCTCGTCGAGGCTTGCGATGCTTCCGAGTCCTTTCATGCAGTATGATAGGTACTTCAGGAGGCCACTCTTCGTACTGAAGACAGATGTGGATATTGTTTGGGAACTTCTAGATAATGAACAAATCTTGTTCTCGTTTCCACACGTTTCAAGTCCGTCACAAAGTTGATTCAATTCCACGTAGCCGTTATCTCCTAAGAGACACACAAAAACATTTTCGCAAGTTGTATTGCTGGTAACCAATCTATATGTCTTGTCTCTCCCACATGTTGGCCAAATCGCCAGTTCGTCGCTTCCATCAATGCAGTCTTGTACACCGTCACTTAACCAAGTTAAAGGCAATGTCAGCAAACCTGCTTTTCCAACTTTTCTTTCACAGGTGTTTTCGGTTTGACTGAGACATATTGGATGTAATTCGTCAGCGTTGTCGTCACAAAAACGTTTGTTGTCACACATCAAGTGTTTGTGAGTGTAGCAAGATTTTGAAATGTTGTGACAGTCACTTTCAATACGATCATCGCACATTGATACGCCCACAGTACAGATCATGTATTTGGAAACAGTAGATTTAAATCCGTTTATGTTGCACGTAGCTCCAACCCTAGCTGGGTCTGTGCAATTTGTTTGCACTTTCCTCATGTCTGTGCAATATAATTTACTATAACTTTCTGCCAATGGATACAAAGGCACACATCTCGTAAAATTATGGACTGGAACCACAGCTTTCGATAAGGGCTGCACACATTTGTTCCTTGTATTTTCAGTAACTGTACAGTTGACCTCATCTGCACTGTCGTCACAATCTCTCCTTCCGTCGCATATTGAATATGGATAAAGGTAGATCACAAATTCCCCAAAATATGTGCAATACATTCCATAAGTTAGGCCGTTACAAATAGCCTCATCCTGGCAGTCCTCAACCTCACACCTATCATTACAGACGAACATAGACTGAATCACAAGTCCAGTTGGCAAGGTTGTCATATTTGAACACCCAGTCTCATCAAGGTCTGTGTTTGTGCAGTCTTGAACTCCGTCACAAACCCATCCCAATGTTGTCAAATCATTAAGAGTTACAACAGCACCACGTCCTTTTTGGTAAAACTCGCACATTTGGTTGCCACATAATGTGTTCTTGTTCGTTATGCTGTATCCTTCTAATCTTCGGTCACAAGCTTGGTAAAAGTAAGGGTCCTTAGAGCAAGTTTGCCCATGTTTATACGGCCAGAAATTAGTGCCAAGGTAATAAAACTCTTCTGAAGCATGGCACTTGTACTTCTCACCGTTCCATCTGTCATTTGAGCATCTGTACTTTAGAAACCCGCCATGTTCTCCAATATGACACGAATCAAGGTCATCTGAAAGACAATGTAGTAACTAGTAACATTGAAAACAACATTCTCTCATCAAACGACAATCCTGACTAAATCTGAATTTTTTTTCAAAAGAGCTGAAGAACAAGACGTGTCAACAAAACATCTAAATCTAAAATATATCTCAATCTGTCACTTTACCCTGTCTTGAAGTACTATAACTATTAGAGTTTGTTGTTTCAAATTCAAATGTCAAAGACGTAGCTGAACGTGCAAAATTTGCAAAGTCAAATACAAATCTTGTTTCAAATATCCAAGTAGTTCCTGTCACATACACCCAAGTAGTATCGTAATTCGAAACATCTGTTTTGAATTCTGATGATCGATTTGTCGCCGAATATTTTTCCAGAACAGCTGTTGAACCTGAATTGGTTAGTACTATTTTGACAATATTTGATCAAAGTAAATGAATTTGTTAATTTAAAGCTCGATCCAGGTAAGAAAATTTGTAATATTTTTAATCTGTTTATTTATTCATTTCATTTCATTGCTGTTGTTGCTGCTGTAAGCTGATGTTGTATCTCAAAGCAAGGTTGCTTAGAAAAACGCTGGAGATCTCTCTGGTTCCCTTGCTAGGATTTCCAAGTCCATATTTTCTCTTCCAAAATGTTCCATCCTTTTCCGAAAACCAGTGCTTGGTTGCTTTTGGTTCATCGTTGTAATGCCCAGACAATGAGGGTTGAATTTTGGCGACTGATCTGGTGGTATTTTTCCTGTGAAATTGGGTTCAGGCTCCTTCAGGTCTCTATAACGTTCAGGGATGAGGTAGGGAGTTCCTGATTATTAAGGTGTCCGGAGTCACTCCGTTAATAGCTCCGAGCATGAATACACTATGATGATGTCATCATACTTTTAGTTTTTCTGCTTCCATGTGCCTGCCTCATTCATTGGAATTGTTTCTTTTTCTTTCTTTTGCAGTACACCGTACACGGTACAACCAATAATAAAATCAGTGACATCTTCCTCAATAGGTCCTCAAACTCTCATTCTATCGATTGTTCAGAACATAATTTCACCACTCAGCCCATGTAAAATTTGGCTTATGAGTGAAATGGTAATATTTTGCTAATTGGATTAAACTTGAAAGACGGCGATCCACTTTATAAAACGTCAAAAACTGATAATACACACTACATGTTTCTTAATTTGTTACAGCATTAAAAATGAGAGTACTGAAACATCTTCTATAATATAGATCTACCTGAATGTGAAGCTTCCGATTTTAATAATGAAGAGGCTGAATCAGACAGTAGTATCAAAACGAACGTCAACATTTTACTCTGCATACCGTAATGGAAGTTGACTCATGAATTTCATTTCTAAGTTATAAGGCCGGGAGCGTCCAGCCTTTTAGAGAGTACTTGTAAGCTTTGTTTAGATTCGACACTTTGAGTTTGCACGACATATTGCCTCCAATCTCTAGTGACATCTGTTGTCTTCCGTA